ATTTAAGAAAATGAGATCTTAATATTGAAAGGACTAAAAGCTGAACTTTGCTAACAACTGTGTAAACTTCTTTATTTGCCTTTGAACTACTTTGTTGTCATTCTAGTTAAATGGATAAGTATTGCTTTATAGCAACCTATAATCCTATTTAAGCAAGTGCCAAAGAAACTTTCTTCTGACAACTTCCCAAAATCAAATTCAGAAAGGTACTTTTACCTCTAGTTAACTCTGATACTTTCCAGAGGGCCCCTGGAAAATGTCAGAGGAACATTTTCTCATTGGAGAAAATATTTAGCTTATTTGGCTTATTTATCTGATATATATTTACCTAAAAAACATTGTCAAAAAGAATGATGCTTATTATGACAACTGTCTTACAGTAAGCTCTCACCAGATCTTTAACCATTGTCATTTGTAAATTTTTGTCATCTATACTCATTGTTTATTACTCCTAAACTAGTAAGAAACTAGATTTCAGCAGAACAGGCATTAGTTATATAAGATTAAGTAAACTAAAGAAGATGATTTTGTAACTTTTTGTTTCAAATGTTGGTAAAGTGCTGTAAGCTTTTTCTCTTAAGCTGACAACAGTTTAGTAAATGACTGCCTTTATAAGCAGAATTGAAACTTTATCTTTCTCTTTACCTGATCCCTCCAGAATTTAAAAACTCTCAGTGACTAGTTTTATATTTCATGACAATATGTTTATTTGCAGAAGTTCAATAAGAATCTGCTTTCTTTGTAAGAAGACTAATTAAAAACACTGGTTATATTACCAAAGCTTTGACTAGAACGTCATACCCGAGAGACACGTGTGTAAACTCAGATATGAACAGACAGCTTTAAGGAACTAAGATTGACTTCATAAAGCCAACAAAGCCCCTTAGAAGAACTGGCCTAGTACCTTGCTTACAGAGTTCCCAGCAGCCTTACCAGGTGAGTAAAGGTCACTTTCTGGCAAGTGCAAGAACCTCAGGAATGTCTTGGAAACCTCAAGAAGAGAGGAATTCACCCAAATGTACAGGTACTGCAGGCACAACCTGATGGCAAGTCTGGCTTGGTTTCCTGGCCTTAAGAAGCCTTTAAAAGTCCAATCTGAAATTCCTTATAAAAAGTTCCAGCAAAGCATATTTAAAAGAGCCTATGTAATCAATTACTCTTCTTGCTGCACTTATGCAAATAATCAAGTCAACTGTTAATTATTTTCTTAATCTGGCTACTTCTANACTGAGCCTTTGGCCATCAACCAGCCTTAAACTCCCCCACCACGATGCCCCTTGTCAGCCAGGAGTCGCCCATTATGACCAAAAGGCTAGAATGTTAGGCTGCAGGCAACAGGGGAAGGGGTGAGCCTAATGGACAACCCCAGGCCTCACCAAACAAGGTGAAGAGACCAACAGGTTCCGGTCTGACAACATTCCAGAGCCTGATGGGATAACCATCCCAACTAGAGCTCTTCCCCCAAGCTAAAGGATTAGTGGTAACTTTCTAGTACCTGGTTAAAGGCCAATGAGAGACCCCCACGTACCCTAGACGAGCCAATCCTCGAGCCAATGTACACCTTTGCTCTCCCTCCCCCTGCCTTCTTTAAAAACTTGCTGCCTGCCCTGCTGGGTGTGACTTCTCCGGCCTGTAGTGCCCAGGCTGCAGGAACATCACCCAGGGGTGGCATTCAAATAAACTACCTGGCCCTTTAAAAAAAAAAAAAAGACAGAATCATGTGTGTTATGTGACTTACAAAAGAAAACATAGCTACCAGGAGAACTTAATCGACCATCCACTGGGGGAGCAAACAGTAGAAATTTAGCTTTAGGGAACAGAAAATAATCCCCCCTGAAAACCATCTTGTTACAATGGTAAGAAAATTAATGGTAAAAGTAATGAATCCAACAAGAAAGCCATGATTCTTGGCTGGAAATAAAAGAGCTAGGTTTCCCCCACTTGGTAGAGGATATCATATGGTTCTGGTGATACATCTATCTGGGATTCCTAAAAACTACACCTTCTTTGCAAATGACGAGGGTCTATCAGACTTGGACATGCCCTAAAATTGTTTCAAGTTTCACCTGGCAGTATCATTCCTGCATGACCACCCTTTTTTGCTTTTCTGTGACAGTTAAAATCAGATTTAAATGAGTATCAAGGAAAACAATGATAGGAACAAGTTACCAAAGAAAGTGAAATGAATCTAAGGAAAGCATAAGCAGTCTCTCCATTAGAGCTGCCGATCTAGAAGTTTCAAGGGTTTGAATGGGAGCAAATTTAAAAAGAAAAAACATACACTTATAAATGCTACAGGACTAATTACTTATTTGTCTTAAAAATTACTGAGCATCTTCTGTATGCCAACTACAGTCCTAGGAGATCCAGCACTGAACAAATCTGACTAAGTTTCTCATGCAGAAATCTGATGGCTGGGCATGAGTGAAGACAGGCAATTAATAAATCAAGATATACCATGAGCTCATGTTATATTTTAATTTATTAATTGTATTAAGAGCTATGAGAAAAATAATGCAAGAAAATATAGCATAGTGACGGGGTGCTGATGTTTTGACTGCAGTGGTCTCAGAAGGCTTCTCTTAAGCAATGCCATCTGAGCTAAGACAGCAATGGGTGGGTGGGAAGCAGGCCACGTGGACATCTGAGGGTGGGAGGGACAGCGGCACCCTCAGGTCAAGGCCCTGCAGTAGCAACGTGAGCACAGGCTGCTGGCACTGGCCGAGGTACACATCCCAGTGAGACAGGGGCCATCAGAGGATTCTGAGCATAGGTGTGGAGCGTGACTTACGTCCTGGTAACAAGGTAGAAAGCTGTCATTAGAGCAAGAACAAAAACACCATTAGCCAGAGGCTCTGGAAACAGAACAGGCAAAGGTGGTGGTGCTTCAGGGCAGTGGCGGCAGAGGCAGAACGACTACTGGTAGGATCTGATGTTTTGTAAGTAAAGTGGACAGATTTGCTGAGGGACTGAATGTGGAGTCTGGAGAGAAAGATAAAAGACCAGAATGACAAAATTATCCACCCAGGGACTACACGTAACATTTACTAAGGAGAAGTCTGAGGAGGACCCAAGTTTAGGGATGGTGAGAAATCAAGGCTTTGATTTGATATACATTAGGTTTCAGATGCCTATCAATCATCAAAGTGGAGATGGCTCATGAGCAACTGGATGTCCAGGCTCCAGAGAGAAGTATTAATAAGTGCATATATACATAAGCATAAAATATGAACACACATAAATAACAAAATTGTAAGTACATATAAAATATAAAGACAATTGCACATATATGTTTGAGTATATGAATGAAGGGAAGTCCAAGAAGGAAAACATGAAGAAGGAAGGAGAGAAACATGAACATTACACTGTTTATGCTTCGGCACCACTTGAAAATATTGTGATGAGAATATATTACTTCAGTAATCAAAAGGGAGCATTTCTTTTGTTTTCCCCAATAATAAGCAGGTGATGAAATAGCTGACAAAAAACAAATTAGAAGTACAGAATTAACAAAATACTACTGTGAACATTCAGAGACAACCATTGTTAACTTTGGGGATTATTCCCTCCCATTTTTTTCCCCTAGATATTTAAGTATTGTCTATAAAATACAGTTTTTGTTTCTTTTTCAGGACAGGTCATTTTTGCTTGTCTGTTTTCACACACACAAGAAAATGCTGAACTTAAAGGTGGCAACCATGGAATTCAGCCACGTTTTCTTTTGTTTTTGCATGTAAGTTTTCATGTGTTTGGAGTGGGCTCCACTTCCCAGCTCCTCAGGAGAGCGGAGCCCAACCCCCCCACTCCCTGACTCACTCATCTAGTTGGGTGCTGCCTAGCATCTCAGGACAGCTGCACTTCCTCTCCTTGTTCCTCAGAGCTCTGGAGTTGGGGCTTCCCTTAAAAAATCATAAACATGTTTCCATTTCATAGTTATTTGTTTATTTAATTTTTAATATTTAATACAGTTATTAGTTACCTAATCTTTAAATGGACATCTTTATATATAATTCTCTGTGCACAGTTCTAATGTAACATTGGACCTTTTATAAAGCATGCTTTAGCACCACTTCAATGAGTCAGTCTATTCACCAAGAGTGGAGATTCTGACAATAGTTTCCCTTTACTTCATTCAACAAATACCTACCACACACCTGAATGAGCACACACTCCTGCGTGTGTGTGTGTAGTTCGGGGGGAAAGATGACATAAAATTTTCAAAGGTAATTTCAGACAGTGCAACATGCTGTGAATAAACTAACAACACACAGGAACATAAGCATGAGGAAGGGGAGGAGAGAGGGAATGCTGTTTGGTTAGGTGGCCAGAGAAAACCTCCTGAGGAAAAGACACTTGAGCCAAAGCCTCAGTGAAAAGGAGGCAGCATGCAAATGTCCTAAAGAAGAGCAACCCAACCATGAAGAAGAGGCAATGCAGAAGCCCTGAGAAAGGAGAGAGCCTGGTGGTGGACAGAAGGAAGGCGGTGTGGCCAGAACAGAAAGGAGGAAGAGGGGGCAGATCATGGTCGGCCTCAGTGGCCACAGGAAAGATTCTGGCTCTTTATTCAAATTGTAATCAGGAAGCATTGTTAAGTTACAAATAGGGACACAATGTGATCTGATGTAGGCTTACCAAGTAGTGTGGAAATTGTGGAGAGACTAGAATGGAAGAAGCCAAAGTAAAAGCAGGGAGACAAGTTAGGAGGTGGCCACTGTACCCAGACAAGAGGTGATGGTGCCTTGAACCAGCATCTCAGTAACTGTGGGGTGAAAAAAGTGCTCAGATGCAGGACTTACTTTGAGGTGACCCCAGAGAACCTGAGGAGGTGGGGTCCTGGGCCTGAGTGAGCGCTGAACGGCTCCTCCATGCACACCCTGACTGACCTTGAGCCTCCCCACTGGCTTATCACTCACCTTGCTGGTTATGTCAACAGGCTCCAGGGAACAGAGACTTGCAGACTCAATAATGAAATGTAAAATGCACCACACTGCCTCACTTACCTAAATTGGGATCAGTAGCCTGACGTTTCTTAATTTTAGCTTCAGAAATAGCAGAGTAATAGGCACAAGTCATCTTGATCAGCCACGTTGCTCGAACCATTGGCACGGAATATTTAGCTAAATATGCAAAAACATCTTCTTTTTTACTAAGGATGGGAACCTAAAAAGAAGTAACATATTTATATTAAACACATATTATGTTCATCACTAGGCCAACATTAAGGGGAAGCAAAAGAGAGTCTAAGTCCCTGTTGCCTATAAGAAACTATATCCTTGATAGATTTTTAAACACTATGTGCAGCTTAAAAAAAAAATTTAAGCCGATTTTCATTAAGAATCAAAACTATGTTCAGTATATCGGCAGCACATCTTTATCAGTTGTGCATTCTTGTTTACAAAAAATTATTTTCAAATTCTCAGATACTGATAGCTACTCATCCTATCATCAAAACAGGGAAAATAATTTCCTAACAGTCCTCCAAGGGGTTTATCTCAAAATTGGAAGGGACAGATCAAGTGAAAAACTGTCCCCATTCTATGTGTTACCAAAGAACATTTTTTTGTATAAAGCTTTCCAACTGTAGCATTTCATAAGAATAACAATTTCCAGAAAGCTTCATAAACTGCCTTTAGCCCACAATTTAAAATACAGACTAAAATGATGGATCAGTGAATCTGCCTAATAAACACTGAGCTAGAAATAGCAGGGTAATTAATTCACTGGTTTAAAGTAGACACTTGAGGCAGTTAATTATTTCTTCCAGACCACAAAGGTGCTATTTAACAAATTAGTATCCCAATGTACTACTGAATGGTTTGAAAGAGTTAATCCACTCTTCAAGAATTCCTCCTAAGTATCCCAGGAATAGCCCGTTCATCTGTATGCAATTTATTCAGTTTCTGAATACAGAGGAAGACATGGGCAGAGTACGTCGGCTCTGATGCAGCAGGTGGGAGCACTGGGACTGAGCTCCATTCCTGGCCCTGGCCTGTCTGGTTAAACACATCACTCCCAGGCTCTTCATCCATGAATGTGGTAATACCAATGCTGTCGCCTCAGAGACTGGTTAGAAGGGTAAAGCAAAATAACTACATGTATTGAAATTATAAGAATTTTTATTCTGTTGCCGGTTTTCAAGATTTCTCCATGGCAGCCACACTGTTTTCAAGCCATGGAGGTGACCCTCTCCTAAGAGGACCCTCGAGACCACCACCAAGGACATCAAGAACCCTGGTCTTGTGCCCCAAAATCATCTTTGATTTTTCTGCCAGAAATTAAGGCTTCAAACCAACTAACCAATTCACATAGCATGGCATTTTTCTCTTAGTCAAATTCTAGCTCAGACAGTGGATTTTTTGCATCATATATATGTTACAAATTTGACTATTCACACATTTGATACAAAGTGTGACCCCTAAATTAAAAAACCCATATTTTTTGCACATGACCCTTTAAAACAAACTATTTCACCTCGTTCTTATAGACGAAACATCAAGGTGCTTAAGTGCTGTAGGAAAAGCTTCCTGGTTGGGCACTGAGACGCAGTGTGCCCCACATACTGCACTTTATGGGGAACCTACTAGATCTTTGGTCAAGTACAGTTCCTGCCTTCAGAACATAACCCCTGTGCATAGGTGGCTACACATCACAAACAGAACCAGAAAGTAGATGAAAGCCACGCAGGTCACAGCTGTAAGATGCCCACTCCGCAGACCACCGTGATGCATTTTGACAAAGAAATTCCCTAAAAAGTTAGCTTACAAGGCACATCCTTCATGGAGCACAAGACTCTGTATTTACTATGGTTTAGGCCAGGGATGAGAAAAGCACAGGCTTATATATTCAAGACCTGAGCTGTTCCTTTTCACTAGAACATATAGTATGAGATCTGTGAGTGAATTTTTAGCATTTAAGGTCAGGTCGCCTCTCATTGAGTATACAAAAAATTACAAGATCAAGGCCTAAAAAATAGGCAAATGCAAAAAAGTAAAGTTAGTGCCTCCAAAGAAACATTACTAATAGTGTCTTTTATAGATGCCTAAGAATTTCTTTTGAACAGCAACTGAGAGAAAAATTTCTTCTGACCATATGAAATGTTTAGACGAAACAGCAAGTAAAACTGAGCTACAGGTCTTATTATTAACAAGCCAAGGTAAACCTTTACCTCAGTGCCTACTGGCAGGACCCTAAGAGAAATGGTTGGCCCAAATCAAGTGCTTTAGAATTCAGAAGAAAGTTATGTGAAGCAGGTTACTTTATTAAGGAAGAAGACACAGATTGATGGTTTTGTCAAATTTACACTTTGGGCCAGCTCAGGAAGGAAAATACGTTCACACTGACTCAAGTATGAATTCATTACAGTCATGGATTCAATTTTCGGCAAAAGAAACCACCTGACTTTACCTTGTGGCTGAACCTAGGCAATTACTGGACAGTTGTTTGGTTTCTACATAAAGCTAGAGCTGCTTCTAAATACCAAAAGAAAATGAAGACACATGGCAGATGATGGTTTTCCATCCATCAAAGGGATTCCCTTGAATCAACTTCCCCTGTGGATGCATGTTGCCATCAGCATCCTCTGTTTGCTAAGCAGTAGCAGAGGCAGAAGAAGACCCCCACAGACCACAGGAATCAAAGTAACCTGAAATGAACACATCATTCCTAGTGAAGTGTTCAAGAGCTAGAAGTATAGCTATTCCTAGAGGCCAGAAATCTCGTTTTCCAAATCCACCTGACAGTGATTGAATTAAAAGGCCCTTTACAGGCCACTGTTGACCTCTCTGTGGCTAAGTCTGTGGAGTACTGTGTATTTATGAATGGAAACCAGGCCTGGAAAACTGACCCATCTCACAGAGGGAACTATTCTGAACCTAGATCAGAGCTGGAAGATGACTCAGGAGCTTAACAGGAAAATGAAGGTCGTCTGCACTAAGCCATCTCACAGAGAGGTACCAGAAATTAAAGACAACATATTCGAGCTTTCTCATATGAAGACATCCAGAGAATGTCACCTTTTACCCAATTCAAAGAGCTTTGCCTTCTCAAGAAGATGATATGCTAAGAAGGGGAGGGGAAGGGATGGACCCTTGAAATGCCGAAGAAATGAATACTTTAAGGTATAGTCAATGGTTTTATAAAGAAAACATGTTTAACTTTACAAAGAATTAACGTCAGGGCTTACCTGAGGAACACCTGACTTGGCCAGAGGCAGCTCCTAATAAAGAGAGAAGAACAATGGCTAATACACTGCACCGTGATTCATCTCCCTCCTAAAAGATGAGCGACCACTAAACCCCTAAAGGAAAGGCATTGATTCCTCACCGTATTCATTTTCAGGAAATAGCCAAAAAATGTATTCTAAAAGTTTATAAAAAAGAGGAAGGTGTCAGGCTGAGAAGAAGGGGTCAGGCTGGCTACATGGGAGTTGAAGGCACTATGCAACATGGAGCGTATGGATTATGGGTAGAAAGCCATCGAATACCAAAGGATGCCCTCAGACTTCTACGGCCTTCAGTTACACTTCACAGGCCAAGTGGGCCCGCACGGTAAAGGTTCACCACTGGAAAAGAAATGCTCCATGCTTCAGCCTGTGTGGAGACAGAGCCACTACCGCTGACTGCTGTTCTTTTCAAGGATTTCAGTTGCCTTTAATGACTAAAATCTATGCAAGGCACCACAATGCTATGGCACTAGGGCAAAATAAAGTCAACTGGATCTGTAGGCACTGTTTTCAAAGAGCTACTTGAGAAAACAAGCAAGCAAATTAAAAAAAGAGCTCTCCTTCAAACTGGGCCTGCACCAAACTAATACACAAAAACTTAATATCAAGAGCAGAAGATGGGCACCCCTAAAACTGAAGGGTGCAGGGAAGATGAGAAAGACCCATGGGGTTATTTGAAAGGTACATAAGAAGTCAGAGATCAAGACTAGGGGGAGTTTTCTATTTCCATCTAAATTTCAGGACATTTTATATTATTCGGACTCTAAGATTGTTGAATCTGTATATCAATTTTCCACTTGAGGAAAATGATCAAAGACAAAAATTTTTAAAGAACCTTCTTACCTCACCCTCCAAAAAAACCAGGAGCTATGATTGAATCTGCTTCTTTTGTTCTAAACATTTTCAAAAAGTTTTTCGAGTACACACAGAATCACTCTTTATCTTACTTGTTAGGAAGGAGAGTTAGCTTAAAAGGTAGTTACTCTTCAAGTCAAGGAAATAACATCAAAACAAGGATTTCCACACAACAGTTTGGACATCCTGGCCTAAGAAAACTGAAAATGTACACTGAAATAAATGATGTCTTATTGCCTAGTCTTGATTTTAAAACTGTGTCTACCTAAAGTACACGTAAACTGCTCCCTATGTGCAATGTTTAGGTCCAAAGTTGTCCTAAGCGTCACATAGCATCAAAATAAAAAGGGAAATGCTTATGTGCAGCACACACCTGGTACAATATACCACCTGCCTTTGAGGCTTTGAGTGTTAGAGAGAATTGGGGAAGAGAAATATATACTTGAACATTATTTCAAACATCTTTATTTCTATAAGATCACAATTAAAACAATATAAGAAACTCATAATACCTTTTTGGCCAAAATTGCAAGTGGTTTATTTCCTGCTAAGTCAGAGAACCAGCTATGAATCGCACTCTGGGATCGAGCAGTAACCAGCCAATAATTATCTTTAGCATTAACTTGTGGTTTCTTCTTTCCGGTGTCCTGGAAAGTATTAAGCTTTAATTTCTCAGCTAATATGCTGCTAAAATATGCTCCAATCTGTGGAAACAAGAGAAAAAGAAGAAAAGGTTTAAAGACAATAAGCAAGTTTGTTAGTGCTGTTTAATATTTTATTTTTTGTCTTCATTGAAAATCTTTAAAAACTGTTCATCAAAAAATAAAATGGCAGTTTAAGTCCTTGAAGCCAAGAGATGTGAATTCCTTATACTAACTGTATTGCCAATGGATTTCAGCCCTGGACAAGTTTATTATGGATTCAATGAAACCAAAGAATGACAATGTAACGTTCTTGGGGTGAAAGGATTTATACCCAACTTTATTACCACGACAGCAGGTCAATCACTAGAATCCCGTCCGCTCAGAGCAAGTCTGCATGCAGCAAGGCGGTCTCTGCCTCTGGGCCTCTCTATCCCCTGCAGCCGTCTAAGTCTCTGTCCTCAGCACTGCCACCACTCCAGTCTTGCCTCTGCTCTCCTGCAGCCTTGCAGCTGTGCCACCATGTGTATATAGAGCCAATAACAACATATCACCCACAAAGTGTAGTGAGCTAGCCAACCAGGGCCAGGTGAGAATCCTGGCCGTATGAACCTTCACTTTATCCACACTAACATAATACAAAAATTCCCACAGCACCTTTGTACCACTATTAACAAGTAGTTTAAGGAAAAAAGAAGGGCCTTTGAAATTCTCTGTTAAAATAAAATTAATTACATCCTGAATAAATTTCAAGAGAATGGGGTCTGTTTTAATCTTCAGCTGTACTTCCTTTTCTTTTCCCCTTTTCAGCATACACACCCATTTGGAGAGAGTATTTTTCCTAAGAGGCATTGCATACAAGAGCAAAAAGCCTAGTAATCACACAGTAATCATTCTTTTTCTTGTTTCATCTTAATAGCACATATTTTTGGAAAGGGAACTCAGTATTTACACTCAGCGCTTTTTTAAAAAGTCTAGAGAAATTTAATTGATTTAAATGGCAAATTACAAAAGGTTCAATTGAATTAAACATTCAACATTTTTGATTGGGCTGCCAATTTCATGAGTACAACTGTTTAAAATGAAAGTGTGTTACCTGCACTGAATGGAGCAAAGTAGCAAAGAAAGCTTCCCTGAATGAATGATTGTAACATTCTCATATTAACCAAATTGAGAGAAGACAAATGAAGAAGAAAAGAACAAAAAGAATAGGGATAAAGTAATATCTAAAAACTAAGTGAATCCACAGAAAACCTACCAGAATTTCCAAGAATCTTATCAAAGCATCACATTTCATACCCTGGGAAGTCTTAATAATGTGATGCAAGCAACAATTTCTAACAAATACCTCCAGTAAAGTTAGCAGACAATGGCCACCATGATTAAAATAAAATACCTACCCTGGTGAAAAAAGTAAGAATCACTACCTTAATCCTCATAAGTCAATAAATAATTAGACCATAGGTCTGAACACAGCTACAAGCAATTTGCCAAGTTTATCTACCAGGGTGAAAAGGTGCTATAACTTCTTTAAAAGTAAATTGGCATTCCTTGATCCTTGTGATTGATGTACAATAAAAAAAGTGTGCTTGATGTGATCTGATAATAAATACTACAGTTGGCCCTTGAACAACATGGGCTTGATTGTGTGAGTCCACTTATATGTGGATTTTTTTCAGTACATTTATTGGAAAATTTTTTGGAAATTTGTGATTTTTTTTTTGTATCATTAATCTACAATTACATGAGGAACATTGTTTACTGGACTACCCCTACCACTAAGTTCCCCCAACATTCCCCATTGCAGTCATGGTCCATCAGCATAGTAAGACGTTGTAGAATCACTACTTGTCTTCTCTGTGTTGTACAGCCCTCCCCATGCGCCCCCCACATTATACATGCTAATCATAAGGCCCCCTTTCTTTCCCACCCCCTCTTATCCCTCCCTTCCCACCTGTCCTCCCCAGTCCTTTTCCCTTTGGTAACTGTTAGTCCATTCTTGGGTTCTGTGAGTCTTCTGGTGTTTTGCTCCTTCAGTTTTTCCTTTGTTCTTATACTCCACAGATGACTGAAATCATCTGATACTTGTCTTTCTCCACCTGGCTTATTTCACTGAGCATAATAATTTGTGATCTTTCGAAAAACCATTTTCTTAAAGAACTTACTTTACTCTAAGAATACAGAATATAATACATGTAATATACAAAATATGTGTTCATTGACTATTTACGTTACCAATAGGTTTCCAATCAACAGTAGACTATTAGTAGTTTAGTTTTTGGGAAGTCAAAATTTATATGCAGATTTTTGTGTAGGGGGGTCAATGCCACTGACTCCCATGTTGCCCAAGGATCAACTATGATTAGAAAAAAAGAAATCTGAGCTTTACCTTTTCTTCCCCTGAACAAACCAACTTCATAGTGTGTTTTTTTAGCAAATGTTTGCAGAATGTCCAAACACAATAAATCAAATGCAAAAAGTAAACAAAAACCAGTTGTTTGAAAAGGAATGGCCAATAATAGCAAACTGTTTTAATTTTAAATTTCTCCATCAGTGTTTGGTCTTTGCACCAAAGGCCTAAACACCTACCTATGCAAATTGTCTTATATGTAGAAGATCCTTATTTGCAATTATGCATAAGCATTTTAATCATAATAAAGGTATAAAAATTCTTTTTACAGAACTAGTCTCAGCAATATGTTTTATAACTATACTCTCTTCTATGTCTTTAATGATAGCAATGGAACATGGTGACTGCATTTTTTACTTCGTAACAAACCTTGTGAGTGTATACATACTGTAAAAAAAGGAGAAAATGCACATGAGACTTAAGAAAAAAAAGTATGATCATTTAATTTTACTATAACAACACTGTATTTCCATTGTTCTGAAACCAAAAAAGAGCCTCATTCCCAAGTCCCAAAACCTACCTGTTGGGAAAACTGAAGCTCCTACAGCCAGGATCCTCACCTGAACCTAAACTATGTGACGATGTAACTGGCTCACTGCTAGGCTACTGCTTCTACACCCACAGGCAATAAGCTATTACTGACTGAGTCACCATATAAAAAGCGCAGAGGCAGAGATGAAGGAGGGTTACAGACCTGCAGACTGTTGGATGCAGATGTAATTCTAGTGCTCAACCTATTAGCAGGAGAACAAAGCTGTGTATAAACCCTTTTACCCCAAGAATGTTCCATTGTCATTCCTCTGTCTCATTGAGTCCATAGTGAACTTGCCTAGGGCTGAAACCCATTGGCAAGACACTACCCCAAGTAACCACTTTGATTAGTTTCCTGTGTGTCTTTCCAGTGTATCTTTACATGAATACATGAGCAAATGCAAATATATTATTTTTCTCTTAATATGTATACCTCCTATGTACATTCAGTAAACATCTGAGAGCCTTTCATATCTGTATGTAGAGAGCCTCTTTATTTTCACAGACACATAATAATGTACTTTGCTGATACTACATTTTATTTAATCAAACCCGTTAATGGACATTTGGAATGTTTGTTCCAAACTTGCTATTACAGATCACATTAAAATGAAAGGCCTTTCCTATTTGTTATTTCATACATGCACAGCTATAGCTTTCAGATAAATTTCCTGAATTCAGATTGTATGATTCTGTGATTTTAATCAGCACTGTTAAACTGGCCTCCATAAGGTTTCTATCAATTTGTACCTCCTCAGACAAGGTATGAGTGATAAGGTTCAATTTAAAACGTGTTTCCATCCACCCAGAGCTATCTTGAAAATAATTCATTTGATAAGCAAATGGGGAAAAGTTTAGAGGCTACACCGTAATTCATGTATTTCATATTTATAAGATCAAATTCCCCTCAGAAGGTTTAAATCCTTGAGTAAATCTCACAGGACAGGTAATCACAGCAGCAGTTGTAATGGGTGTTATTTCCATTTACTCAGTTATTTAAATTCACATGAAACTTGATACAACTGAGAACAATTTGGCAGCTCATATTAAGAGATATAAAGCATTCATACTTTGTTATGAACTGAATTGTGTACCCCCAAAATTCAAATATTGGAGCTCTAATCCCAAATGTAATGGTATTGGGAGATGGGGACTTTAAAGGTTAAATGAGGTCGTGTGGGGCCCTAATCCAATAAGGTCCTGATAAGAAGAAACACCAGAGACACATGCACACAGGGGAGAGACCGTGTGAGGATACAGTGGGAGGCAGCCCAGCGCACACCGAGGAGAGAGGCCCGAGGAGAGACCACAGCTGCCAACATCTTTACCTTGGACTTGTGACCTCCAGAACCATAAGTAAATAAATCCTCAGAAAATCAAATTTCTATTGTTTAAGCCGCCCTATTTATTTTGTTATGGCAGCCCTAGCTGACTAATATACCTTCTAACCAAATGAATACGCTTCTGGGAATTTATCCTGTAGAACAAAAGCCAAATGTTCAAATACAACAATAACTACTTTATAAATAATCATAAACAATTGACAACAGGCTAATTGGTATGTACCAGCAGGTTCAGTCCATTATAGCACATAAAAGATAGAATGTTATCTATCCATTAATTATTATTAATATGAATACTTCGGCCTCAAGGAAAAGTACATACAAAATAATGTTACATTTTTTTAGAAATATAAAGAAGAAATTCTGGAAATGGATGGTGGTGATAGTTGTACAACACTGTGAATATACTTACTGTCAAAGAACTGTATGCTTAAAAATATTAAAATCATAAATTTTATAATGTATATTTTACCACAATAAAAATAAACACAAATGCAACACACACATAATTGTGGTCACAATGTCAAAAAGTGTATCAAGATGGAAAATGACAAAACTGAAAACACTGTATTTAGTTGATGGGAATCTGTAGAAAATGCTTCTATTTTTTTTCATATCATTTAAATATTTCAGGTGATACTTTAGTAAATTATCATTACATATGCATATGTGTACATTTGCACACATAAAGAGATCAGGAATGATACACAAACCTTTAACAATGATTATCTCTAGGGAAATATAAGTTAGTATAGAAATAAGTATGTTTTTTTTTTCTTTTTATTTGTCTGATGCAGATGTGTTCAAAAGTTACAATATTCAGAAAATAAAAATAACTCAAAAAGGGTAAAAAATAAATTCTTTTAAAGAATACAAACAGAAACATATAATTCTATCTATATACCTAATTGTTAGCATAACCACACAGAAAAAGACTTAATTGAAGACATTTTCTTAACATTCTACTTACCCTTAATGAAAATCAGTCTAAGGACAAAAAGTATCATAGAAAAACTGTAAATTTTACACGGTAACTTTGTCGTTGGAGAAGCACTGGTTTACTCTGGAACTGTTTAATGTGTACTGTGAGAAAGCATAAATAAATATGCTGATAATTTATTTATCACACAGGAGGGAGACACAAAGATGGAACAGGAATAAAGTAAGGGAAACCCTGTGGTACTGAGTCAGAACTGGTGGATGGATGGGTGGCGAGAAGGAAGCATAGAAGTCAGGGAAGGAGAGAGGAAGGCAAGAAAAAGAAAAAATTAATTTCTATATATTTTCCATACAAATTCTCTATCTGTGTCTGTTTCTGTATCTGTGTCCATGCAAAAGACCTAGAATTTACGATACACTAGCAGCAATGAGCATGCTGAGCATCCAAATGGGGGCTGGGGCAGAGAAAAAAGAACAGATGAACCTGGAGTATGTCACTGTGCCAAAGTTAAGAAGTGCTCACAGACTGTAGGAATGTCAATCAAACCCAAGAGACAGGTTAACAGTGCCCTCACTGGCCAAAAGTGAGACAATGTAGGCAAAAAGAAAGAAGTAAATACATCGAATTTTAAAGAGTCCATAGGTTCAAAGCGATACTAAAAAATGAGGTGTCCTTTTAGAAAAGAATGCCAACTAACAAAAGTATGAGGAAAGACAATTAGAAAACCACATTTTCCACCACCAGCAAAATAAATCATTCAGCAGGAATTATCAATCGATGCTAAAATCATAGGATGAAATTTTATTGGAGAATAGGATAGTCATATGGTCTCAAAGTATCATCCTGCAGAGATAACTACAAGTAAAAGGTGACTTCTTTTACAGTGTAAGGAGATGCCAGACACCACCTTCCATGACCAGACTTAGTATAACCAACAACAGGGCAAGTTGGCATAGCATGTCTTCTGATATGCCATGTAGTTTTCTTACTAAAAATATTTAACTTGAATCCTGTCATAAGAAAACAATCAGACAAATCTAGAATGTAAGATAAATGACTGGACTCTTCTAAAACAGCAGTTCTCAGGGCCCAAAATCCAGAACATGAGAGAAGGTGGAGAGCAATACTGTACTAGAATAAAACAGACTGATGAGACATTACCACCAAATGCAAAGCATGATCCCTGACCGGATGCTGGGGCAGGATGGCATACAGGATATTTGGGGGAATGCTGAATATGGACTATGGCTTAAATAACAATAATTTATCAACATTAACTATCAAGGGTGTCAGATACACACACTTTTTCAGAAGTTGTAGGAAATAGACAATTAGTATTACCTTTGATGGGTTAATTACAATATTTCTGGCTGAGCCATGTTCATCTCCAGTAAATGCCGGCTGATTGTTGAAGCCTTGCTTTACATTCACAGCAGTAAGTTCATCCTGTTCAGGAAAAGGTAATGATTAATCAGAAGGCTGTAAAAGCTCCAACTTCACTGGGCATACTGCCTGAGTAATGACTAACTTCGCTATACTCTGTAGAGCTGCTGAACACACACCAAAGAAACTAAAGTTTAAAAACCAATACATAAATATGTAGACAGAGAAAAAGTGAATGTGGCAGTGTTGACTCCAGGTAGAGGGTAAGCAGGTGTTTGGTATACTATTCACTTTTCTGTAAGTTTGACAATGTTTAACTAGTAAGTTGGGAAAAGGAACAAAACCCCACACCACACACAGAAACATAAAATCATAGCACTTTTTCACTAGAATTGTTTCTAAAGAGTCCATCATTTGGCTCTCCCTTCTTTGCCAGTCCCTATGCACATCCTTATTTTATGTTCAAGGAAACTGACTCATTTAATTTACTCAAGACTCCACAGCAAGTTAAAGACAGAAATGAAGGTTTCCTGGGCATAAGCACTGTGATAACCACACAACACCACAACGTGCAACTCAAGGGAAGTTTAGAGCTTGCAAAGTTTTTTTACACATCTTAGCTTGCTTGACAGTAACCACTCTAACGTAGATGGTAGGCATGTGTGTTCACATCTGCTTACAGATGAGAAGAGTGAGGTTCACTAAGGTAGGGCAGTAACTGCACAGAACAAGAACGGAAATCCTGTCTCCTCACTCCTAGACGAGGAAGAAAAATTTCCATGACACATGTCACCAAAGTACAAATGCCATAGGAAAATATGATCTAAAAATACATAGCTACAACTCATAGTAGCCTTAAAAAGGTCTCCTACTGGATAGATATGGGCAAACTTTTCTTCCCAAGGTCATAACACATCAAAAATAGCCCAAAGCTTTAAAAAAAAAAAAAAAAAGGCCTGTGCTGCACAGATCATTGAGTTAAAGAACTAAATCAGAGTTCCTAAAGAATAGACTTGAAAGAATAAAAGGGAAGGACAGGTTTGAGTAAATGAAGCTATCTTCTGCTCCCCTCAATCCAAGCCAAGAAATGGTCTCAGTAACAGTTGGGGTAATGGTAGCCACAGCACAAGGATATGAATATATACTTGTTCTTCATAAGTAAATGATGCAAGTATAAAATGAGAAAAATCAACTGGATGACATACCTACCCTGATTAGACAGGAAGCCTTAGGACAAAACAGTTTATGGCATATGAGCACCTGAAAGGTCACCGTGGCTAAGAACCGAGGTCTCCTGAAGACATGCCGTGTAACCTTCTTTAGTTGTCTGTGATCTACCTAATACCTGGGTGAGCCACTGTTCTGGTGGGCTTTCAAAAGACCCCCGGCTACAGGAAGTCAAGCTCAAGGTCAATCAAGTCTCCTCCAAGCACAGGTCACTGAAATTGTGATCTGCACAGAAAGTAAGTTGCACACAGGTATCTGAAGACATCTCAAATTGCTCCCACATTTTCAAATTAATTATTTGAAAATCTAGGGCAAAACTACATAATGCATATTTTAAGTGAGAAAGGTGTCAGTCAAACCAGTGCACTAACAAAATTTCTGTAATCTCAGAGTCAAAGTAAGAAGGGGGACAAATGGGATCACGAGAGGAATGGGATGAAAAAATTGGATTTTCATCTCTGATTTATGGTCACAGTATTATAAGAAACATTAATTGAGTAACAGCATATGTTTTTACTACAAATACATTCTGGCTTAATCAAGAGGAAATTGTGAGGCTTTCAATATGACAAGTTAGTTTCAATTAGTGCTGCTTCATTTTCTATTCTAAACTAATACTATTGTATTTGACTGCTAACCACTGGTCTGGAGAGACGAGCCCTGGGCACACGCACACACACACACAAACATGCACACACAACCCCCAGAATAAGAACATGGAACCATGGTTACATGTCTGTCAACCACATCAGAGTTTCCTCACAACAAATTTTCCACACAGGTACTGTTGGGAACTTTAAATACCGAAAACTTTTTCATCTTGCATCTGAAATTGCACAAAAATAGATCCAGAATCCAACCACTTCTCACCACCACCACCAACGCCTTCTTTGGGTCAGGACCCCTATCATCTCATGCTGTGACATTGCAATGGCTCCTAAACTGGTCTCCTCCTTGCTTCTATCCTTACCCTCTGAATGCCATTTTCAACACAGCAGCCATGGGGAGCTTTTTAAAACTGAGACCATGTAACTCCTGCACAAAACCTGCATTAACTCCCCAACTCAGAGCATAAACAAAGACCCTATAATGTCCTACAAGTCCCTATGAGATCTGGTCCCATTACCTTTCTGACTTCATCCTTAACCACACTCCCCTTTGCCTACTTTATTCCAGCCACACTGGACTCCATGCAGCCCCTCAAGCATGCCAAATGGAAATTCTCAAGCCTCAGAGCCTTTGCACTGTCTGTTTCCCCTGGCATCCACATAGCCAATCCCCAAACCCCTTAAGTCTTTGCTCAAATTCACATTCTCAATGAAAAATCTGATGACAATATTTAAAATTGGGGCCACTCATCCCATTTCCTTCACCTCCCAGCATTCCTAATCTTTCAATAATCCATAGCACTTATCAACCAAAACACCATGAAATTTACTTACAACATGTACTATCTGTCTCTCTACCAGAAGGTAAGGTCCATGAAACCAGAGATCTTTATTTCATTCACAGATACCTGCCAAGTACTTAGAGCGGTGCCTGACACAGAGCACACAAAGGCATTCAGTAAATATTTGTTGAAAGAATAAGTGAATGATAACGTGTTTTGAGCAATTAAAATAAGCATATTCTGAATCACTAATTCCATTTGTATTGATGCCTAGAACCACTTAATCACCCAGAGCAGTGGCTCTTACACCATCAAGCCCAATGCACCATCCTGAAAACAAATACTTTATAATACCCTTTTTCTGAGTCTGAAATGAAATTCATAAACAATAACTCACTGGTACTAATATTCTTTTAAAAATCAATATAATGCCCTCACTCTAAAATTTTTTTAAGGAAGTTATAATAACATAGGTAATTGAAAACACTCAGGCACACAACACTAGACCTTCACTACTCAAAGTGTGGTCCGCAGGCCAGCAGCACTGGCCATCATCAGGGCTTGTTAGAAATGCAAAATCTCAGCCCCGTTCCCATCACAATCTGCACTTTAACAAATTCCCAGGTAATTTATTCCCACTTTAAGCTTCGAAAAGTTTGAGAAGTACACCATATGCTCTAAGAGACATGAAGAAATTGTGTCTGTTCCTATTCCTAGAACCACCTTAATGCAATAACCACAAAACACAGCCATCAGGTATGCTGCACTGCCATTTCAAATAGTCAGAACAGCATGATATGAATTTTCTGAAATGGTGAAAATTCTTGGTAAAGCTTCAAGCTAATAAAATCTCCTCCAAGTATATTAAAACATAACAGCTCTTTTCCTTGGAAACTCAGCATATATTACATGTATATTAAAATCAAGCAAAAAACAAACCAACCACACCCACACTTTGAGATCATATGTAAACAGAATCCCAACTTAAACAGAGAGTAGGAAGCAGATTTAGATCCGGTGGCACATTTGACAGTCCAGTGGGATGCTGGGCAATTCTTCATTGAACCTGACTGTCCACACTGAGGCCACAAGGCCCCCCACTGACTGGCAGGTGCACCCCATCACAGCAACAGCTAACACCTGCCCCGTGGACTGCCACCACACTCTCACTGAGGACCCCAGACCAAGCGCAGTTCTTACCTTTTCAGAGCCCTGCTTCTGAAAGGGGGAACCAGAGGCTCCAGGTTTAAGATACGCTGAGCTTCAGTGTAAGAGCTGCTCCTGCTGCAATACCACGCCTTGGGCTGCCCCACCCCAGCTGACTACAGGCCACCTGCTGGCTGGCTCACAGCTGTGGCTGTAGGTGGTGGTGACGTTGACAGCAGTGTAAGGACAACTCTGTGGCAAGGCACAGAGCAGGGAGAGAGCAGTGGGTGTGTCCAGGGTCTGCCATTTTGAACCTCCAGCCCCACTTAACAGTGTCCCTAAGCAAGCTCTGGGACTGTTCCTGTGCCTCGGTTCCCTCAACTGTAAAACAGGAATAGGGACTGTTTCTACTACTATTTCCATATCCCAGCTGAGAAAATAAAGCAGAGAGGTTAATTACCTTGCCCAAAGTCACACAGGGGTAGAAAACTCCAATGAGTCCATGTTCCCAACCATTATACTATATGAAAATGGCCAATTGATATTACTGCTACTGTCATATTTCTGGTTCAAAAAAGTGATAACCTGAAGCTCCAGTAAGCCCTCAGATAAATGAAAGGACGGCTTCATTAATTTAAAAGACCTTGGCCTCTACAGTGGCTCTTAAACATTTGAGAGAATCAGAGAGCATCAGAATCCCGGGAAAGGTTTGCTAAAGCATAGCTTCCTGGGTCCCGCCCACAGATTCCAATTCAGTAGGCCTGGGGCCAGGCCTGATAATTTGAATTTCTAACAACTTCCCAGCCAGTGCTGATCTAGGGACCACATTTCAAGAACCACTGACATAAATACTGGAAATTTATGGCCACAGGGTACTCAATTACATCAAGAAGCAAACAGAGTCAAAACAGAAGCTTGGGAGTCACTTCTGTTTGAGGTATATTGATACAAAACTGGGTCAGCTTCCTAGAGAAACTAAGTGAAAGTGGATAAAAACCCAAAGCATTGCAACCACAACATGAACTCTGATGGTTTACTTCCTTCCTAAAGCTTCTGAAAAGGGTAAAAGTCACCAGCAAGAATCCAAACAATGACTTAAGATTCAAATTCCGGAGTGTTTAGTATTGTTGCTTAGCCAGTGTTTCTTTGGTAATGCAACAACAGAACCCTTTTAAAGGAAAAACATTCTCTCTGACCCACGGCTGTCTGTAGACCCCAATCTGGGAAAATGGGTTAGGGACATGGATACTTAGTGGCATTAGACAGCATTAAGAAATTCAGAACAAGAAGTAATGGGTGC